AAGAACGGTTTGCACAACTAAGAATGGTTTGCACAACTAAGAACGGTTTGCACAACTAAGAATGGTTTGCACAACTAAGAACGGTTTGCACAACTAAGAATGGTTTGCACAACTAAGAACGGTTTGCACAACAAAGAACGGTTTGCACAACTAAGAACGGTTTGCACAACTAAGAACGGTTTGCACAACTAAGAACGGTTTGCACAACTAAGAATGGTTTGCACAACTAAGAATGGTTTGCACAACTAAGAACGGTTTGCACAACTAAGAACGGTTTGCACAACTAAGAACAGATTGAACAACTAAGAACGGTTTGCACAACTAAGAACGGTTTGCACGACTATAAGGAAGGGTTAACAATTTAAGACAGGATGCAGAACTAAGGACGGGCTGTTGATCTCACAACAGAGTTACATTGTCTGACGACCATCACTCTCTCTGTTGTGTATCTCTTTAATTAAACAACCAACATCTGGGTAACAACAATACACATTAAATTAACATTTCAGTATCATATTCACAGTTTAAAAATGTATTCTAAAAGTTACAACACTATCATCTAAAGGTAATTAAGGATGAGAACGATAAGAAACAGTCATAATGGGGAAATTGAATTCTTTATTTATTCGTACAATATCCGACTAATCACAATGGGAAGTGTAAGGCTTTACATAAGGCATGTTATGTCACACCTATTACAACTAATGGGTGAAGGCATGAGGCACATGGTTCGAACATGTCCATGAACGTTGCTTGTGTGTGTCCTGACATTGTTTAAGTAAATAAAAATGCTCAGTAAATCATAATAATTTGAATCGTTATATATAAAATGGAGAATAGGAATACTGAAATCGTAAATTTGTTTGTTCAATGCGCCAAAAAAATTCATTTCCGATAAGATTCGTCGGAAAAAAATTTTATCTTCAGTTTGGAAAGGCACTAGAGCAAAAATGAACATATGGTGATTTTTTTTCCGTTATCTACCATAGGTCCAAAAAAGTATCCTGAAGGTGCTATTTGATCTTCATGTTTTCATGTGTGTATTTACTGACATATTCACTGTCTATGAAAATGCCTAGAACATTCAGCATTGGTGAACACTTGAACAGATGAGCAAATAAATTAACTTGGACCCAGATCAACGGCTTGGGATTATCTAGCAATATGTATGAAAAGAAATGGACACGGCTCTGTGAAAAGGTTCGAGATCAAAGCCTAGAAAATTACGCAAATTACAGAACGTAAAATACTTTTGGCAGCAGTAATAGTCGCCTGAATATCACCCAGAGGCAATTAATTAAGTTAACCGATTATATCGAAAAACGTCTATCGATGGATGGTGACAAAATTCCAATATTCGAGTATCAGGATGATAGATTAATGAGATAATAAATTTAAATATTATTATTATTTGTTAACTAATAAATCAGTTTCACGAGACCGGTGTCACAAGTATTTCTTATATTATAGTTCAAAATCGGCCATATCCCACGACCAACTTGACTGTCTAATTAAGCTACACTAAACTACTTGTCTGACGAGGAGGCCGTGGAACTCGCGACGTTTTTTTCAAAAGGCTTCATGTTGTGGCTAGATGAAGTCGTGGGGCCTTCTTCATGAGTCTGCACGTCATGGTTGGAAGCCACAGCCTCAGTCGACGAAGCAAAAGTAACTCGACGCGAAGGTAAGTTCCGAGGCAGAGTCTGGGAAGTTAAAGCATAGAAGGTGGCTGACCCCTTCGACGAAGTAGGTTGGAAGGCATGAGGAGAGGAAGTAACCTCCCTGTCACTGAGTGGTGGCTCTTCTCCCGAAGGAGCTTTGGAGGATACATGCTCTACGTTCTCTTTCCTAAGAGATTCTCTCTGGTCCGTGACTCGGAGACTCTTTCCTAAATGAAGAGGATATGAAGTACGGTGATCAATCGAAGAATCTCGAGGAGAATGCACCACGACTTTGGGCAGAGAGGGCACTTGAGATCGCAAAGAAGCTCGAATGTCTGCATTTACAGCTTGTGTGGCACCAGTCACAACGTCTCCCAGAACAACAGAAGACAGGTTTGTGCCTGTCGGATGAACGTGAGCAAACGATTCGTACACTGCGCGGCCTGTGCTGTTCTTTTGCGCATCTTTGCGCACGAAAGAAAGCTGGCTGTTGATATTCGTGTTATACTGGGTGATTTCTGATGGTAACAGGATGGTTGAAGCCTGCGTCTGGTCGCTGAATTTCACAGCGGTTTCAGATGCAGCCCGCTTGTGCTTAAGTAATGATGAAGGCAGAGTGTGGTACTGCAGCATCAGAGGCACTTCCTCATCTGGGAGACAGAAGGTTCCACTTCCAACACTGAGATTGGGGATTGTCACAGGGGACTTCCCTTGGGGAGTCTCGTCTTCAGTGGCACTGCTGGTGTTGGCATCGCTGCTGTCACTGTAAACGCGCGGGCGTCCCGGGACGCTCGTTTTCAAGGAACTTTCCAAAAAGTTTTTTTCGATTTCAGGTCTCTCGATCCGCTTGAGAAGCTTTTGATGCTCGATGTGCTGGTCGAGTTGCTGATTTAGAAAGTCACTAGAATTTTCGCAGAAAGATCCATCCGTAAACGACGATATTTCGTCTGCATTCTTTTCTGATAGCAGCCGACGAGTTTTGTGTTGATAGAAAATATGTTGATCGAGCTGTTGCGATAATAGGTCTTTGTGCTGCTGCTCCTGCAGCCGCTGCATGTGCTTCTCAAGCAGAATTTGTTGTGTGTTTTGCATTAGTTTCTCCTTGAGGAACCGCTTCTGCTGGAGGTGGTAGTCGAGGTCATGCTGCCGAGATGAGGGTATGGCAAGTTCTGTTACGTCACGAGGGGACGTGGCAGCTTCATCGTCAACATCGTAGAAACGCTTCGATTTCTTGCCTAATTGAGGTGCAAGATTTATCAATTAACTAAATTAATTTCCGATACACTAAGTTAATTCAATTTTCAATGCAAGACATTAATTAAACTATTAATACACTCCATTAATTTAATTGTTAATACATATCTCTAATTTAAATATCGATACAATTAATTAACTTTCACGATGATGTAACTTATGCGCAAAATGCATCATGAAAGTATTCAGGTCTCACAAAACAAAATGTGAAATTCAGGTCTCATTAATTATCAGTTCCGACTTACGACCAAGCCAACAGACGTCAGAAATTGATATCTCTGATTCACCGATTGTGATTATAAATGGAGATCGCAGGAAATGTGATTAGATTACAGCACGAACTTCCTTATATAAACGTGGAGAAATTAGACCGGGATTTGGAAAATGAGTATAACGTCATTTTCTAGGATTCGTGTCTCATAGTTGCAAAAAATGTCTAAGATCAGATTTTAGTAATACTTCCCCTTTTTAGTTGTATTCGTGGCTGCAGGTTTCGACGCTGTAAGGATTTGCTATAATTTAGTCACTCATCTACTCACTTCGATTGCACAATCCTCACTCTAAAAGCTTCTCCAAACAAATAAATATATATTGAGATCAGAATTGAAATATTCAGAGGATCGTTTTCATATTTAAATTTCGATTGGGATCGTCCCCGATAAATCAATACAACACAGTCATCAAAAATTGAGCTTGAGGGGTTGAATGCCAATTTCCGTACTACAATTATGTTATCAAATTTGTTCACAAAAACTCTCGTAACGAAACTCTTTATAAGTTCTAGTAAGATACTAAGACATTAATATAGTGGTAGAGTATGGAATTTCCTTGCGATTTAAAGAGACATTGCCATTTTTACAAAGAATGATAAAGTGATAATAAATCTAACCTACAAAAAGCTAGTTTTTTTATTACACAATAAAACACAACAGCATCCGCAATCTTTTAAATTGTGAATTAGTACGCCATCAAGATCCAATTAGCCAAGTTGCCGAAGTCAGACTCGCAACAGCGAATGCACGCAAGCAATTCAACCAAATCGCAACCAAATGCACGCAAGCGTCGATAACGCAAGCGTTGTACTCGTATTTAATTGATACTCTGATTGACGTGTCGACGTTACCGATGATTGCAGTGGAATTCAATAGTTCTCAGTTCAAGCGATTTCTGTTATCACAAACTAATTATATTAGAGAGAAAATGAAAAATCCTGATGTAAGAGACGAAGCAAATCACGCAATGCACTGACTCTATCAACCGCGCACCAACACAAAATCAAATAAGGTGGACATATCTTATTAATGCATGAGAAGATATTTTAGCCATATCGCACGATGCTGGCTTAGTTTAGCCATATGGCACGATGCTGGCTTGGTTTAGCCATATCGCACGATGCTGGCTTGGTTTAGCCATATGGCACGATGCTGGCTTGGTTTAGCCATATAGCACGATGCTGGCTTGGTTTAGCCATATCGCACGATGCTGGCTTGGTTTTTAAACGAGGACGTGTGGCAATGCTTTACCTCAAAAATTGAATTAAAATTACATTTTCGTATGTGTAGAATCACGCATTTTAATCTATAGAATCTCATCCAATATGTGTTGAACATTAATAAAATAACATGTAGAATATCACATAGATTATATGTAAAATCGCATGCTCAACACAAATGACTGCTCGTTTGAAGCGCCCTGACGCACGACGCAACCAAAGCGCTCGGTTTAATGCGTTTAATTAAGGAATTGTACCAACATACATTATTGGTCCATGCTTGGGAGTTGCGCACGAACAGTAGTCCTCTGAACGCGTTTTGAGCCGAGAAACTTAGCTTTGGGTCACTGATTAAATGCGTGTTTGCAATATTAGATTACGCCCGGCAGAATATGTGACCGCATGCAGATGATTTATTAAATTTGCATTTAATTTATTTATAATATAAATTGCCTCAAACACATATCTTTTCTCTTTCTCGTTTTCCATTCATGGGCAATAGCACTGGAGATCGACAAATTTATTCTCTTACAAAAGGTCTTCAACTACGCGGGCTTCTTACCTCGATCACGGCGGTGTCCGCTGGCCATCTCGGGGGCACTCACGGCGCCGTCGCTCTCGTCCTCGCTGCCCGCGAGGCTGTGCCGCGCCGACGACCCGATCCGAGGCCCGGGCCCGAGGGCACCTCTCGTGGGGCGTCCGAAGCCCACGCCGCCTCTCAACATCATGGGGTCTGCGCCCCCTCTCTGCAGGCGTTGGCGGGGAAGACTGTTGCTCCTGGACGAGGCAGACCGAGGTCTCGCAGCAAGAGGTCTTGGTGCAAGGACTTCAGTGTCGCTGGCGTAGTCGACAGATCGTGTGCGCTGGCGTAGGGCGCTTAGGCGTCGCATGGCCTCCTGGTATCTGTCTAGCGTTGCGCCTTCGCCAGAGCCGTACGCCTGCTGCAGGGGCGCTAAGGACGCTTCTTGCCACGCCTTGTAGCGCCTTGCGGCGCTCATGCCGCTGCTGCCTTCGTAGTCACTCAGCGCTTCGCGTTCTGTCGCTGGCAGCCGCTGGTCGCTCAGAGTTCTGGCCAATCTTGGCCGGCCAGCCGTGCTGCGGCCCAGCGTGCCCCCGTACCCCAGGCGGGGGTCTAGACCCTGATGCCCAGGGGTATTGGGTGCACCGTAAAAAGAGTGTATTCTCTCAGCGAGGGACTCCAATGTCTTAGGATAAGAACGGTCGTACTGATAGAAGTTGGGATGATGCCGGGGGCGGGGCTGTTCCGTGATGACAGGAGGCGGGGGATGGTACAAGTGGTCGGGACCAGGAGGCACTCCATACCCGCCACGACTGCCACCAGGACCTGGAAGACGACCGATGCTGCCTGGACCCCCTCTGATAGGGTACCCAGGGTGAGGAGGATTCATCCCCATGGGGACGTTTGGGTGCTGCCCGGGCTTCATGCTGACATAGTGAGGGGGAAGGGGAGCGGGACCTTGAGGTGGAGGACCTCCTCTGTTGTATGACATCAGAGGTTCTTCGTATCGTAGAACTGACATGTCAGGAGGTCGGTAGCGGGGAAGAGTGCTAAACCTCTCTTGCTGCGGCGCCATGCCGTGAGGAGGTGGTCGTCCCATGGCTCCTAACCTCAACTGGTCCCCATTACTAGTGGAATCATCTAGAGGATCTTCCTCGTAATCTTTCTTGAGCACGACGACAGGAGGAGGTTTTGGTTCCAATCGGTTGGGTTGATGCATAGGTTGTCGTGCACCGCGACGTGACCTAGTCGTCAGGAGCAGACGACGAGGTATAGACATGATGATGACCACGTCATCTAAGCTCATCCTCGTCACATCGACGAGATTTACGGCGAGCACTTCATCTCCGACTCTCAAACAACCGCTGTTGTATACGGGCGACTCGAGGGCAATGCGTGATATGAAGACGCCCTCTTGGCGCTCTGCTCCGTTACCCTCTCGTATGTACAGACCGAGGGTCTGGCCTGGTCTCTTCACGATCTCCACGAGCTGCACGCTGTACTTGCTCGTCTGGCCAAGAAAAAGCACCTTTACCATCACCATCGAAATTTATCATAAAGCATATGAAGGGTAGATTTTTTTGTGATCGCGAGTGATAAAATGACTTATTAAAAAATTTGCAGAACATTCATTGTCAACTAATTGCTTATCATCGGAATCATTGAAGTGGTCGTGAATGAAAAATCATGATCAACTCTGAAAAATGCAAGTCGTAATAGGGAGAGAAAATTACTGGAAAAGAATTTTACTCAATGCCGATTCAGTGCTGTTGCAGGGGGTGACGTTACTACATCCTATACATCAGTTATAGGAGGCGAACGCCCGCAGCATCCTATACAGCTTTGGCAAGGGTGGACGCCCCTAGACCCTATACATTTGATGCAGAGGGCGGGCGCCCGCGGCATCCTATACATCTTTTGCAGAGGTGGACGCCCCTAGACCCTATACATTTGACGCAGGGGGTGGGCGCCCCAGCATCCTATACATATGTTTCAGGGGTAGACACCCCTAGACCCTATACATTTGACGCAGGGGGTGGGCGCCCCAGCATCCTATGCATATGTTTCAGGGGTAGACACCTCTAGACCCCATACATTTGATGCAAAGGGCGGGCGCCCCAGCATCCTATACATTTATTTCAGGGGTGGACGCCCCTAGACCCTATTCATTTGATGCAGGGGTGGGCACCACAGCATCCCATACATATATTTCAGGGGTGGACGCCCCTAGACCCTATACATTAGATGCAGGGGGCCACGCCCCCTCGTACCTGCAGTGCTAGGAAGCGTTTGGCGGACTCGTATCCATTGCGGCTGAGAGTTCTTGGGTCGAGCAGCCGCACGACCATCTCGCCCCGACGCTCCACCACGTCCATCGCGGCCGCCGTGCTCGCGTCGTGGTCGTTCTCGACCGTCTCGATTTGGCGGAAAATTTCTGAGCTGATACCCGACACCTGCGGTCGAGACGGCGAGACCATAAGTGGGTCTGTGAGACTCACTTTTAGGCCGTTAGTGGGTAAATACTGCTAACTTTAAGACCAACAGTGGGTGCATGGGACTCATTCTAAGACCAATAATTAGTGGGTCTATGGGACTAACTTCAAAGTGCTGCAGAATTGAAGTCGTTTAGTAAGAATTAAAACTGGCATTGTGTGAAAAATATAACAATGTAATGTTGAATATCTCAACATCCAAATTTCTTATGAATGGTGTTATTTGAAGTAAATATGATTGAGACTAAATTATATTGTATATCGTCATATGGTTGTAAGTAATACTGCAGAAATCTCTATTATCTGAAATATAATTGAATAATTAGGCCCCCGAGCTCACCTTCCTGAAGTCGCTCTGGACGACCATCTGTGGGGGGTCACGTTGCCCCCCCTGCCCCCCTTTGCTGCTCCCCCCACCCCCCACCCGACGAGGGGAAGCTGCCAGCTCCACCCCTCCTCCTCCATTAGATCCCTCCTGCACACGTGGAAGTCGGTTAGATCAAACAGTGGAATTTCATCAAGTTTTCTCGTTCACATTCAAGGTTAAGATAATGACCGCTGCAGTCGCACCAAAAACGCGTTCAGGTGGCACGAACGCTAATTTAGTTATAGTATCCTTTTCATGAAACCTGAATTTGTTGAGAATCTACAAAAATAATAGAAATTTGGGCAAAATTGTCTTCAAATGTCAGGAGTTCCGACGTCAGGAGTTGGATGCAAACTGCGTAGTAGATCACAGGTCACTGCATTTAAAATCCGTATGACACCATTACAGCTCGCTTTTCTGCATCATTACTTCAGCATAACATGAATTTAGTTCTAGGCATAATAAGGTAATCTAACGGTCACTAACTAGGCACAGTAAACAACTAGAGCACCACCGCTAAGTCAACTGTACTACGAGACATCAAACGCGGTAATGGCCGTGAATGTCTGCCCATCCTTCAGTGCTGGAACATCATACGCAGACGCAACACTCGACTGTGACCAGGAACAGCTTCATTTCACACCAACATTCCATTAAACTGCTGCCCTAAATACACATAATCCCTACGCCGTGCACCGCACGCGAAGCCAACTCATTAAAGGATAAATTTAAGTTCAAGCCACGAGTCTCTACTTAAAACCACATCAAGATCGCTCCGGTGCCGTTCTGCTTAGCTGATGGCGGTGTGTGGACGGCACTGTGTACTTGAAAACCGTCATGCCAAACTGGATAATAAGCAACGTTTTCTTCTCAGCTTCGTGTGTTTCAGAATCATCGAAGCAACGGAATTAGCGAAAACAATTTCACACAATTGTATTCAATTTGGTTCCTAAACTGTGGTACGTGATAGTTTTCCGGGTGGTACACGAACGAGACGCGATGAGGTCGGGGATCTGAGTCCGAGCAGGCCCTAAATATTTGCGGTGCCGGCAGTATATACAAAAATGTAACAAGCGTACTACAGATTGGTTGGTACATTTATGACGTACAGATTTGTATATTTGTGACGTACAGATTGGTACAGTTGTGAAGTTACCTCTGTACCAGACCTGCAAGTGGTAGAATTCGATTTAGGAAGTATGGACTCCGCAGCAGTTTCTTTTTATGGATTCCTGGAGAAAGAAAAACCCTTAAGCGAATTAAATAAAATCAAATACTTTAATATATTTGAAGCAGACGCAGCCAACGGGGAACTTCAGAAACGTTCGCAAATTATCGAGAAAGGATATCAAAAATAAAAAAATAAACAAGGCGTTCTCTTGGTTAAGCATTGCTCGGGCGCTGGAATATCTCGCAGGTCGCCCCCTAAAGCTGAGTGCCGACGCGTCTGCAGACGCGCGTGGGCCGCGGCATCGCTGCTGGCAAGCGGTGACTTGGCATCGCTAGACAATCACAGAAAAAACATCAATCAGCTGATACAATAATTAATAATAATGATAATTATTACAAATCGAGTAATGAAATTGGAAGATCGATGCTCGAGGTGCGCTCATTTGAGTCAAGAGGCCTATTGTTAGAGTGAAATCTCACTATAAGCTAAACGTGAAAGTAATCTCACTGAGGGTCAAAATTAGAGTAATTTATCGTAGCAAGAGTTTTGGTTCAAGCATTTATAAATTGGATTGAAAATCGATTGCTGTCAATATAAGTCTGTAACACTAATTTGTGGTTCGATAAAATTCTTCTTGGTGTTTGTAAAATATAATTCAATATCAATTCATTCCAGAGCCGGAAACTTTCAGCAACAGCAAGACGACTTTTCGAAATGTTTTTTTCTTTTCCCGACAGTCTTTTACGCCGCTGTTGCTTCACTCGAGCTTAAGATGAATCTGACCTACATGTCTCTGACAGGCTGGGCAGGAAGTCTCTGACAGGCTGGCAGAATTTTCTTCAGTAGCAAAATAATAGAAAAGGTCTCTTAATGTTCGGACAGCACGTCTCATGCTGCACTAGACGAGCAGCGTCCGATGCTGAAAATAAATTGTGAATTTGCGACGAACGATTAAGTCAGTTTAATGCAGTGCAAAATAGAGGAGATTTCGGTCGCTGAAAATTTTTAAGTTACCAATCGCTGAAAAGTAATACTAATGAGTTCAACTTTGAAAAAAACTTGAACTATTCAAACTGAATGCACTAGGCGAACGATGCAATTAGACCTATTGTGTTGGGCAACCGTCATTTACACTCAGAAAAAGAAATGGGTCGCATTATCCAAATTATGACACGCTTACTATATGTAGCATTAATACTTCATTTTGTCGGGCGAAACCAGGTCAGGATGACCCACACAAGAGTAAGCGCATCAGTATTTGGATGAAGTCGTTCAAAACTCGTGTGTGCGTCTGAATGCGAAATGCAGCAACGCATCTAAAGGTCCGATATAACGCTTGGGTACAGCGAATTCCATCGTCCATTCTTAATTTGCTGGTGAAGAAATGTCGGTAAAATGATTGACATTGTACTAGTACATCGCAGATGAAGTGATCGTAATTAGTGCTAACGGTGACAGTGTAACGCCGGTCATGATAAAATGTAAATGCAAAGTGATGTAGATAATTGATCAATATTTAACCCCAGATGCATATACAAAGGTGCAACTTTTTTAACCACACAGTTTTGCATATCAATTTATATAAGAAGCAAAAAAATGCTGATGGAATCAAGTTGAATATCGATTTTAAACGCAAATCTTTTATACGAGAATCATTTAATTTATTGATGGGTTAAATTTCTGTGAGAATTATTCCAAGCCAATCTTTGAAACAGGTTTTCGTCAGGTCGAGTCAAGACTTTGAGTCCCGACTATAATACTCCTCTTGGCCAGATGCTCGATTTGCACTTAGCCAAGTCAGCCACATTTACTATTTTGAGGCCTAATCTCAAATTCGGTTTTCATTTCTACACTCACCACATATGTGTGACGGTCCACACTCGAAGACCTTGCCCAGATGTTTTGCGCCACATTCACAAAGTTTCCATACGTCGGCACACTTAGGCACTCACCATGTGTTTGGGCGTTGTCACACTCACGATGTATATGAGCGTCATAACACACGCTACGCGTGTTCTACGACACACTCACCATATGTATGGGCGTAGCCGCACTCGCCACACGTGTTATGCGCCTCATCACTCACCATGTGTTTGGGTGTCGCCACACCATCAGAGAAGAAGCAGCCACAGGCGGGGTAGTGGCTGCCTCCGTTGCCCAAGCGGGCATCGCACATGCCCCGCAGCAGGCGGTCCCGCATTGTGGCGGTCCTAGGGCCCGTAGCTAGTGGCGGTCCTAGGACCCGTAGCTAATGGCAGTCCTAGGGCCCGTAGCTAGTGGCGGTCCTAGGGCCCGTAGCTAGTGGCGGTCCTAGGGCCCGTAGCTAATGGCGGTCCTAGGGCCCGTAGCTAATGGCGGTCCTAGGGCCCGTGGCTACAACCGCAGTAAAGGGATACTAGGCACCTCAATCCTGCGCCCCACATCCCCATTTTAAGAAGCTACATTTAACCTCAGATATACCCCCATTTAAGAAAAATATTAGAAAAACTTTAAAACAAATAATTCTCGGGAAGCTTCAACTGGCCTGAAAAAATACACACCAAACCCATCGCCAATCGCATTATCAACGGAAATATTTTATACTGGCAACTATGGTGATGCGAGAAAATTTTTCATTAAAAATCTTGCACTGGCGGAGCTATGGCACGATTTAACATACACCAGAAGTTAAATATTCTGAGTCAACATTAACATAACTCAAAGTGCAAATTCCTTTGCAGATCGCAGTTAATGTGTACAGGTTCCTTCAAGTCACTTATTTATCTATAGTGCACCGAAAACTCTTGCTATGTAGACGCTCATTAGGTGGAAAAAATTGCACAGAATTGTTCAAGTTCAATTCATTACATTTCACCGATTTTATTTTCACAGCCTTCTTACAATAATTTAATATGCGCCGATAAACAACCTATAATTCATTCTATGATTAGACTTCAGCATATTTATTCACATTTAAATAGATTTCCCCTGTATATGTATCACGTCACTCAGCACCAACTACAGGATATGATATGTTCTTGATATGTTAGAGAATTCTTAATTTTTTCACTGATCGACTTTTCTAGGAAAGACGCGAACTCTGAAAGAACACAAACAGATAGGTAAATTGTTAATCATTTCACCATTGTTAACCATTTTCAAATATAATGTGTAATTCAGCAGTAACATTTTCGCAAAGATATTTCCTTCACAAGCCGCACTACCGTGAGCAATAATGCATTCAATTTATAAATAAACTATAAGCTTATCATACATATATATGTCTCGCTCTGTCAAATTCCAATTTTTTACACAAAAAAAGAAGAGAATGCCAGCTACTCGCTAGAAGCTCAGATGAAAAAACTTTTCACTCTCCAAACATAACAAAGTTATTTTAAATCTTCTCAATAACTCAGCAGGCATTTTAATAGCAATTCCTTTATATTTTTGCTGTCACAGTTCGTCTTAATTAAAAGACGTCAAACAACTTGAACAATATAACTATTTTCAGCCCACGTTCCGCGATGCACACGATTCAAAAATTTAACCTCGTATATTGGGTGTTTTCTTTAATGTTAAATCGTAACTTAAGATTACACGGCTCTGTCTTATAAAATATTTACATTAAAAGAATTCATTCCAGGCGACAAATGACCTCACGAATATAGTCCTGAGAATCCAAGCAATATATGTGCACTGAGACATAGGAGATGATGCGCGATCTGCATGATAAATTGTAGGTAGCAGCGTGATGGAAAGGAGGGGTGGGAAGTGTAGGAAGCAGCGTGGTGGAAAGGAGGGGTGGGAAGTGTAGGAAGCAGCGTGGTGGAAAGGAGGGGTGGGAAGTGTAGGAAGCAACGTGGTGGAAAGGAGGGGTGGGAAGTGTAGGAAGCAACGTGGTGGAAAGGAGGGGTGGGAAGTGTAGGAAGCAACGTGATGGAAAGGAGGGTGGGAAGTGTAGGAAGCAGCGTGATGGAAAGGAGGGGTGGGAAGTGTAGGAAGCAGCGTGATGGAAAGGAGGGGTGGGAAGTGTAGGAAGCAGCGTGGTGGAAAGGAGGGGTGGGAAGTGAAGGAAGCAGCGTGATGGAAAGGAGGGGTGGGAAGTGTAGGAAGCAGCGTGGTGGAAAGGAGGGATGGGAAGTGTAGGAAGCAGCGTGATGGAAAGGAGGGTGGGAAGTGTAGGAAGCAGCATGGTGGAAAGGAGGGGTGGGAAGTGAAGGAAGCAGCGTGATGGAAAGGAGGGGTGGGAAGTGTAGGAAGCAGCGTGGTGGTGCTCCAGGGTTGGGAGTAGCGTGGTGGGGAGCAGCAGGGAGGGGAGTTATAGCTCCAGGGTGGGAGTAGCGTGGTGGGGAGCAGCAGGGAGGGGAGTTACAGCTCCAGGGTGGGGAGCAGCGGGGTGGGGAGTTGTAGCCCCAAAGGGGGAGGTTCAGACCGTCATATCTGCTTTACTGCGCCGGGGTTCGCTGCTTTCATCCCCACGCAAGACGCGGCGTGCAGCGCGTAAATCGTCGCAGCAAATAAGCGATGCGGGGAGAAGATGAGGAGAATGAAGGCATGACGGTGAGACTACATGCCCGAATATTATGGGAATAAATAACCCAAAAAATATGGAATAAATGCCCGAATATTATGGGAATAAATGACCGAATATTATGCGAATAAATGCTCCAATATTATGGGAATAAATGCCTGAATATTATGGGAATAAATGCCCCCAAAGTAATACCATTAAATACCCAATGAAAATATGCCTAATCGCATGAAAATAATAATAATAAATGCCTGAAGATAATGAAAATTAAATAAGCAAAAAATAATAAAATTAATTTAAATTAAATGATAAACATGAACTGTTAGTGAAGAAGGGATGTGATGTCGACTTCATCCCAGCGATTTGCCGAAGTGTTTTTAGGTTTGATAACGTTTATCTTTTGATATAGACTGGTTCATTTGCTCATTAAAATTCTTACCATATATTTACTTCTATATTTGCCTACAACTGAAAAATGGATGTCAAGTGTTTTTTTTTAATTTTATAGTTATTTAAACTTAAGAAAGGTTAAGAAGTTCACCCGAAAATTAAATATTTCTTAATTTCCTTACCAAGCAGGTTAATACTTCTTCGAACCATTTCAATATGGTCCCCACCCTTCAGTTTCATTAGAAAGAACTTTTATTATCAAGTACGTCATTCTTTTAAGAACAATTCTCTTATATATCTTTTGCGCTCTATTTCATTAATGACTTCATCTCATCACACTTTCAAGTTTTCATTCATCCATTCCACCTCACCTTCTTTTCTTTTCTCCATTTCACATATCCTTCTCTTAACACACTCTTAACTCCGCATCATACTCTCTCCCTCTCACGTCTCAATATTCTTTTCCTTCCCTTATCCTCTTCACATATTTTACTCTTCCTTTATCCTCTTCACATGTTTTACTCTTCCTTTATCCTCTTCACATATCTTCTCTCTCTCACTCCACCTCATCCTCTCTCCTTTCCACCTCCTCACATTCTCCACCGCCTCTCCACCTCTCCTCGGCTCTCGCTGTGCACCGCTGATCGATATGGCAACGGTGGCCCTGACCTACACAGTGCAGGCTGTAGCTGTGCAGGCTGTAGCTGTGCAGGCTGTAGCTGTGCAGGCTGTAGCTGTGCAGGCTGTAGCTGTGCTGGCTGTAGCTGTGCAGGCTGTAGTTGTGCAGGCTGTAGCTGTGCAGGCTGTAGCTGTGCAGGCTGTAGCTGTGCAGGCTGTAGCTGTGCAGGCTGTAGCTGTGCAGGCTGTAGCTGTGCAGGCTGTGGCTGTGCAGGCTGTAGCTGTGCAGGCTGTAGCTGTGCAGGCTGTGGCTGTGCAGGCTGTAGTTGTGCAGGCTGTAGCTGTGCAGGCTGTAGCTGTGCAGGCTGTAGCTGTGCAGGCTGTAGCTGTGCAGNTCCTACTTGTGGTTTGATTGTGTCTGTCATCTATGATTGCATTAATTTTGCTGATTACCATATTTAATTTTTTGATGTCCTATAATGCAGGTTTATTAGTTTTGTTTGTGTGTGTCTGATTTGATTTGTGTGTACTGATTTGCATGGTGCTAATTTTGTATTGTAATCTGAAAATTGTTCTCTTTCAATGCTCATCAACTAGCTATATATACAAATAAGCTCTTATAATACTGTGAAATTCTCGGTTCATGCCGGCCATTTCATAAAACGATCTCGTTGTATTGATATCATAGTTTTAAATGGGATTAAAAGGAGATTTTCAGATCCAATCTCGCTCCAATATTTTAATCCTGGGTAGGTCAGCATTTTTCCGGTTTGTTGTCAAATGCCTGATGTGTGCATGGTGGCTTTACATGTTAGTTTGGTTGCTTGTTTTTATTTCTACTTGCCGTGCTTAAATGAAATTCTAGCTTGAATAAGTTCGAAAATTGTTGTTATGTGTAAATTAATAATATATGACCTCTGTTCAGAATCAACTGACTTACATTATCCTGTATATTTTTACTCTTCGTATCTATATCTAGTGTGTATCCTTATTTTTTGTCTTATTTTTTATATACATTTTCTCTGTCTCTTATACACATCTAGATGTGTATAAGAGACAGGTCTACACCTGCTGGCGCCACTCACCAGTGCCCACTCTACACTAGACGCCCCCTCGCCCCTCTCTACACCTGCTGGCGCCACTCACCAGTGCCCACTCTACACTAGACGCCCCCTCGCCCCCCTCTCCACGTAGGAGTGGGATGACGGTCAGGCTGCACGCGAGGTGTGCATGTGCACGCGATTGGAATTCCAGAAAGTAGAGAACCTCACCATTACGCCGTGTCATCATTACTATGCTATGATTTATGCGCTGTGCTATGTATTTATGCTATGATTTTTCGCTATGATGCGCTGTAATAGCGAAAAATTTATTCGCAGTATAATGGTCGAATTTGCAACGGGACCATTAACGGTTTGGAACGCTACTACCGATGTCCGGTGGTAATAGTGTCATATATGTACTGTAAATTACATATTGATCTTGAGCTCCTCAACACATTTTAGTGAGTGAGTCTACTCGGGATCTTTAGTATAGAAAATATAAACAAATTCGAAAAATTTAGATTTATGATGCATTGATGAAAAAAATTGTCAACAAATTAGAAAAATTTAGATTTCGATTTAAAAAAGTTTGGAATGTTTATCATGCAGTAGTGCTACTTATGATATGATATATCAAGC